ATTCCTGTGCTCCCAGAGCAGGCATGGGGCAGGGTTATATCCCTGCTCCCCGGCAGCAAGAATTGCGGCAGCAAAACAGGATGGAGCACTTACTTACCAAGGATTCTTTTCCTCCAGGAGATCAGGCACAACGTTTACCAAGGCAATATACAGAAACCCACCAGAAGTGAAAGGAAGAATCCAGGCTACTGTTTGCCCTGCACAAACACAGAAAGCTTTTGTTATTATTGAGGCAAAGCCACGGGACAAAACAGAACGGAAAGAAGATACACCCATGGGGATGATGGGCTCCTCTCCTATTCCTACAGCGGTCCCAGGAAGCCTTACCTGCTCCTTTTGGTGACTGAGCACATATTGCAAAGCAGGCCCCTAAAATCCCCCCCAGAGCTGTGGAAAGCTGCATCTTGGCCGCACTCCAGCGGTCGAAGCCAGCCCGAAGTAGGATTGCAAAGTCTCCAACCTAAGAAAACCAAGAGCTGACAGTTAATGAAGATGAACATGAACATTCACAGTTACAACAATCCCCTTAACAAGACCAGTGCTTCAAGACTGTTTCTAGTTGTCATTCTCCCAGAGGAAGCGGCTTTCAAAGGGATACGAAAATCTTAACCAGACCCAGCCCTCCCCTCAGCAGATGAAGCACCCTCGTAACCTTGGCAGGACACAAAGCCCTCTCACCTCATGTGGGATTTCATGCAGGAGAATGGCCACTGTGGTCAGGAACCCAACCTGCAGCAGAGGAGAGAAGGTGATTACAAACCAGTTCCATGGCTCCAAGACAAGACTTCCATCATCATGTCAAGGCCCCTTTCTCCAAGTCAAGACTTGTTACTTGGAGTTTAGAACAATTCAACAAAAGGGTTGATGAACTAAGCCTTCCCCTAATGCCAGGACAAGTGATTAACAAGTCCCTGGTTTGAAGAAACTCTGCCTCAGAGGGTCAGGATAGGGTTGCTTTTCACTGTAGTCTCCATTTTCTCAGAAAATCCCAGGAAATCGGAGGGAACTCCTCACATCTTTGGGGTTTTTTTGCATGTTGTGTCACTTGAGAACAGCCTCTCCAGTTCAGCACGCAGCCAGTGACAGAATCCTTACCTTTCTGCTAACCAGGAAGCTGGCTGCTACTGCCAGGCCGTGTGTAAAGTTATCAATGGTGTTGGCCAGCAGATTGAGGTAACCACTAATCTGCAAAGAGAAGGAAAAGCCCCTGATGAATCGAGAGACAAGAAAGCACATGGCTTAGACACAGGTTATACAGAGTCATGATCAGATGGGAAAGGTCAGGACACGGCGCTTCTGGTGAAGATCTTGAACTATGTCAGTGCTCAAGTACAAATGAAATGTTACGGTCAGTTTAAGAGTAAACTAAGTTCTAGAGTAGGCAAGCATTGTCTGAGATTAGGATAATTATCTTATGCAAATATCAAGGAGCTCTATAAACACAAAAAGAGAATGGGAAAAAAAAAGAGGAAAGCCAAAATGCAAGACCATATTTGATTATAAATCAAACCGATTTTAGGTAACACTGACTCATTTGCACAGGCTTCAAATATGACCTGACCTTGTTTTCTCTTCATGTATTTTAATCTTCAACTATTAAATACCTCCTCTTGAAATACTGGCAAGAACAATGCAACAGAACAAATGCTACTGAAATTGCTTTTTGAAACTAAACAAATCTTCAAACGCTGTACTAAAAATGCTTGTGCTTGTGGGCTTGCTCTCCCTTAACAAAAAGAGAAGGTAGTGATGACAGTCACTAAAAAGCCACCTACTAGAAGGCTGGATAGAACTATAAGCATATTATAAGCATAAAGCAGCTTCCTTCCTCACAAGTCCATCTCCATGTTAGACTGCCCTATCATGCTAACTACAGTCATCTCTAGACAAATTCTGACTATCTCACCTAAAGGGATGTATGAGGGCATCACTCCAGCTCTTTTGCTCACAGGTTTTTTGCATTTTTTCCATCAGATTTAAACACATAAAATACTTCACGACACAACACTGCAGTTTAAATTATTATCAAACCAGATGCTAGCCAATACTTCAGGCTGTCTCTGGACTGCAAGAACTAAGCTGGTGTCCAGTATTTCCAGATGTTGGGCAGCACCCAGCGAGCGGAGAGACTGCCCAGAAACTGAGGTATTAACCTCTTCACCACAGCATCAAATGCCATAGTTCTGCTGGAAAAAACACAAAACGCTAATGGGTTTCATGAGCCCTTTTTGGTGTTCTGCTTTCTCGCGTTTCTGTCCAACTCTGCTCGGGGCACCTCTTCCTCCTGCCCTCTGTATGCCACAGCTCAGGTGGGGCTTTCTGTCATGTCCCTCTCTCCAAACCGTCACCTTTCTGCAGGGCACTTCTGCTGCACAACCTCAGGACATCTTTATAGGCTCTAAACTTTCAAAAGTGCACTGGTGATGAAATATGAAAATAAAGAATGAAGCAAAGCCTAGCTACAGATCACATTTAAGTAATAGTCTAAGTTCTGTCTCCACAAGGGATGCAGTTGTTGCTCCTGGCATTTTATTTGTAAGAAGAGGAACACAAGGGAACGTGTACAACCCATGAACACAGCAGTTTACTTCTCAATCCTCATTTTCAGTCCAATATGACTGTCTAAAATTTCTCCTTTTCACACTGGGATTTTACATGACTGCGTTTTCCCGACAGGCTAGTAATAATTATTCACATAAGTTTTACACAAAAATGCTTTTCCTTACCACCGTATAGGGAAAAAACAGACTTCATGATTAAAACATTATGACTTTTTCTGTCAGTGGCTTGGGCAAAAGCTGTCACTGAAATGAAGAAAAGCCTTGGAGTGCTCAGAAATAAATTGGGTTGATTTGACAGTTATGAGCCTCTGACATTTACATTCTGCGAATTCCTAATAGGATGTTCTCGTTGCTCATAAAGAGCACAGCCAGATGAAGTGTTTATGCTCACGCTTCAGAATTAATGTCACTGTGCAATAAAACATACTTCTGCAAATCAGCAAGGACGCCACGTACCACACAGAAAAAGAACGAATAAGCAGGCAAAAATACCCTACGATGTTTTTACTGAATGTTGCAATGCAGGACAGAACTGCTTTGTGTTTGGGTGCAAAGGAACAGTCCCACCTGCAGTTTTCAAGCTAGGACAAATTATTCCAGCAGCAGCTAAGGAGCAGAAGTTCTAACATATGTGGACAAAGGATGACTGATTACAGCATACTAATTATTAAGCCCCGAAGGGTGGTTTTGCTTGTTTGTTTAAATGGCATTTTTCCCTCTTCGTTTTCAGAAAAACGAATTTATTGAATACACAGTAGGACCAAAGGAGTCTGGCTTGCTGTGGCTTTCCTTCTCCTTTTCGTAATCACCTACCTGGCTCACTTCCAGTAGCACGGCTTCCCGGCACATCCCGGCCCCAGCCTGCGCTGCACCACGGCCACTTCCCTGAGCGACACCTGCCTACGGGCTGACAGCAGCATCCAGCGTCCCGGCTCTGACAGACTTTTCTGACAGGGCATTAGTTTGCATTCCTCCTCTACTGCCGTCCTCATTTTTATGGAACTTGCAGATATTTGATTACCCTCAAGACTTCTATCCTCTCTTGAACTCAAGTAAAATTAATTGCGGGTTCAAAAGTTATTGAAAATGAAGGGCAGAGCAGATGGACAGACAGATGGAATGACTGCTTATGTTGTTGCCTAAGGAAACAGCCTAACGATGCAGGAGTATCTTGCTAGTTTTGGTTATTTCCCTCCTACCAGAAAGGCTATTAAAATAGTTAGCTTACATGTTCAGAAGGTAGAAAGTTAAAGCTACATGTTAACTCATTAGTTTCTATTTCATGCATACTGACAGCAGTCTGTGAGAGCGAACAGACGTGTTGGGATTTGAACGCTAGAAGGGCTCTAGACCTTCTACATAACACAACTGAAAATCTCATTCCATTTCTGTGTGAAGCTCATTGTTACTTAAGCTACACTGTATTTGGTAGAAAGCAGTTTAAACCACAGCTTAAAGCCCACAAGTGTCAAAGAATCTACTATGCCTCTAAGGTGAGCTGGTCCACTGGCAAGTTACCCTCAGTCAGAGAGTTGTCTCTGATTTCCAGCCTGTGACTGCTTGATATAGCTTTAACTACTCAAATTTAGTCATGCCTCATAGGCAGGTATTTGTATGCTTTGTCGCCTCTGATCTGTCATGCCTAAAGAGCTAGAGACTAAAGACAACAACTTCTTATCACATACTGCAAACCTAAAATAGTTATTACAGCTCCTTCCTGACCCCTTTACAAAATACCAGTTGTATTTTGGATATTGTGAATAACACTACTGGAAAAAGTCAGACGGCTGTTTCATTACTGCCATACAGAAAGAGGAACACTCGTCTCTTCTCTTACATACTATTTCCCACTCGTCTCTCCTGGCTGTGGCATTCTAATGGAAGAATGTGTTCAAACAACTTCCTACTGCGATTCTCATACCTTTTTCCAAGGCACTGACTTCCTACCAACTATGTCTATCTTGTAAATATGATCTGTGCTCTTTCTTAATCTATTCCTCAACATTTTCATGTATCAAAACAAGGTACAAATTGAGCTCTTTGAATGAAGTCACTCGGTTTGACTGCTATCACTGACCTCATGCAGTCACAATGTGCCACTTAAGTAACATAGCAGTATCTGCATATATTATAAATAATCACTTAGAAAAATCATAAACCACCAGTGAACAGATCTGAGGGGGGCTGCAATAGTCCAGTCCCTGTTGATAATACAGATTAACTGATTTTTAATACAGTTAACATTAGCCAAATTTATTTCATGCAGTACTAGTTTTATTAAGAGAAAGTTATGTTTCATATATGTTTGTCTATGTTGTTACCTTTATCAGCCTTATGACCAAATAAAAGGCAGAGGAAAAATGTGTAGTTGATAAGAACTTATCTTCCATAAGATCATATCAATTAGCAATAATTACATTACTATTTTTAACAGTAGGACCAGTCCCTGAGCAATTATGCCCCCCACCAGTGTTTCATTTCTACTTGAAATCGGTGGTAGACTAACCATCCCCTAAGTGTGCAGTCGCTTATATAAATCTTTCTAAAATAACGGTGCAATGTTTCATAACCCAGTAATACCGGTTTCTTCCCCACTATCACCCTAGAAACACCAGCACGGCACCCTGCAGGTTGTGCAGTGCTCTGTGCAGAATACATGAACGTCACGTAACAAAAACACCCAGTGACCTCAGCGTATCTTTCACATTGTGTAGTAAGAGCTGTAAAGTTACGGCAAAACAGATTTAAACTAGGAAGGCTGAAGTGCCTCTGACCGATCCCATATCCAGGTTTGGGCTAATTCATCCAACCACTGCTTCCTGTTCGTAGTTACTCTCCTGCAGTCTTGCCTATTTTTACAGGCTTTCAAACTCAAATGATAGGTCCTCCTTTGCCAAGGCAGTCACTTACTCTCATCCTTGTAACCTTTACCCAGACAAGGGTTTCCTCAGTGCTAAGACAGTAACATATAACTGAAAGCAAAGCCAATCTAAAGGTTAGCCACTGCCCAAGGGTACAGTTCTTTCTCCTCCTCCACCTCCAATCCTACAAGCTTGCTGATCTCCCTGATGCCAGCACGACAGGCTGCCTGTCTACAGGCCAAGTTCACTCAAGAAGTTTAGAGAGGAGAGAAACCTGTGGGTGGGAAGCAAATTCTTTGCCTATCCAGCTCCCTTAAGAGGCTCACTGTGGGGCCAGAAAAGGTCCAGTGCAAAGAAAGCGATGGAAAATGCAGGTCTGGAGGCAGAATTGGACAAGAAGTCCTTTTTGGCCGCAGGAAAACTGCTAATCCAAGAACCTGAATCCAAGAACTTCTAAGTTTTACAGTAGATGGCTTCAACTGTCAAAACACTTCCAAAAGGTGCCTTAAATGGAAACATGTAGCTGTCAATTGGTACAACGGAGGTACCAGAGAATAGAGTAATCACAGCACAAAAATTTAAGCAAATAAAGGTACAAGAGCTGCGAGATATAGAGTGACAAAACGTAGAAGTATTGTATCTTGGTCTCAGAATTCAGCCAAAACATACATCATCAGACTTACGCCTTCACAATAGTGACCTTGCCTTTTTTTTGCATAAGCTGCAACTCAGATTTTCTCCAAGTGCGCTATTTCCTCCCTGCTGTGACCTAGACAGGCACTTTGACAGAGCCAAATTAAGCACAACTCACTCGGAGATCCCCTCAGGCAGAATTCTTTCCACAGACAACTCATCCTCCTGACTGGATTTTGAAGTGTATGTCTGAAAAACTAAGATGTGAAGGTCAGTTTATGGGTCTCATACCTTGATTCTGTTGTCTGTTGGACATGACCAGAGAGAGGAGCCATTACACTGAGTGGAATCTGTTCCTTCTCTTTGCAATGGACTTGCCGCCTTCAGCAGAGGGTAGCCACTTCCATTGGGAATCTTTCCAGCTGGTGCTTTGGAATCACAGCCCTAAATTAGGGGAAAACAACTTGTTACTGCCTTTTCATCAGTGATGGATGAGCACGATCAGGGTCAGAAATCCAACCTTTACTCTTAATCCTTGTGTCTTTACAAAGCAAATCAGCAGCTCTGGTACCCTGGTTTGTAACGACTACTGCCAGAAATGCGGCAGGTTTTCAGAGACTGTTGTGACACCCGCACTGCGAGACGACAGAAACAATCACTAAGAGAAGGAAAACAGAAACAGAGAGCAGGAGCTGGAGTCACGCCCCCTTGGCCTGAGCTGGGTTCCACTGGGAAGATGAGGGACTGAGCCTGCCACTCACGCCAGCAGATGCTGCCCAGAGAAAAACAACTCCATCTGGTCACGTGATGGGGGAAGGAGAGCCTTGCTCTCCCCAGTGCATCAGAATAACTAAGTCTACAGAATTATTCTGTAGCTGGGAATGTCAGCTTCCAAACAACATGTTCACCTCAGACTTCAGTCTCTCTGTAAATGAGAGGACTAAGTTCCTTTCAGACTTTAAAGTCTCATGTTGAGTCAAAGTAACACCTCATTGCTCTTAGGCAGTGCCTGACTTGCAGTTTCACCTCTTTTGAAGTTTGACTTTTGAAGTCAAGTCTCAGCAAGGACTCAACAGTCTACAAGAGTTGCAGTAGCAACAAGGAGCTGTGCAGATATATGAGGGTGAGGTGCCTTTCTCCACCTTGCAAGTACCGTCCCCTCTGCAGCTGGGTGACTCTCCTCTGAACTATTAGTTAGTGTTACCTGGCCAACCGTAAACCCCTTCTACCAGACAAAGCCACCCAAATCAACACCCAGTCCAAAAAGAGTGGGGAGTGAGGAACACCTTGCAGAGAAGGCTGATCTCTGTCCTAGCTGATGACCCAGAAGGGAAGTGAGTCACGATGGCTCAGTGGAACATGCATCAGCAAGCTGTCATCCCTCAAAGTTTACAAAGCCTGGAGATTAAACAACTTCTAGAGTCCCAGGTCAAAGAAGTGGCACTGACAAGCTACTCACAACTCCAGGATCATTACCTGAGCCTGTCAGATAAGGCAGATGAGGTGTTTAGCAGAGTGTGCCAAACATATCCTCTCTGGCTGCTAACTTACCACACCAGGGCACTCCTTCTCTTCTTTCTCTAGGAAGATCTTCTCTAGCACCAGAAAGGTCAGGAAACCAATGATGACCCAGAGACCCAGAAGCTCCTGCTGCTGAAAGCTCTGCCCTTCTCCTGAGGGACAAGAGAGAAATCGTTCAGTCACTATCAAGTACACAGCGTTTCCTGCAGGTGAACCCACCTCACCCCAAGACAGCTTAACCAGCAGTTACAAGACAAAAACCCCAAGAAATAACAATGGAAACACCTCGTATGAGGGATAAGGAACAAACACTTCTCAAAGCCAATTAGTCTAGTTTGCTCCTTCTTGAACTAACTGATATCCTTACTCAGAGTGAGAGCTCCCACCCATTTTGCTTCAATAGTGCAATCCAGAGTATTTTCTAACAACACTGGGAATTCCTGTGTGCTCCAGAGGCAAATGAAGATTACATCAACAAAAATCCTGCAGCTGTATCTACTGAACAGCAAGCCCTGACATGAAATCTGCCATTAGCAGAGCCACAGACTCACCTCTCCCTTCTGCCACACCTGGGTGAGTTATTTAGCCCAAAGGTATAAAATTTCTTCCCAATTACAGCTAAGCTTGAGATAACCATCCATTCAGCCTGGCTGCAGAGATGGAGATCACATTGCAGTGCAAGAACAGAATGACTCTGTAATTGGGCTTACACGGGTCAAGGAAACCTTTATACTTCGGGACAGGCTGGCAGAAGCAAACAAGCTAGAGCAGGAAGATAGAGTCATTTGGGAATCACTGTAGAAAGGGGGAAAAAAAACGACAGCGCGTTCTGCTGGAAGAAGAGCACCAAAGGCCCAGCAGATCTGAAATCCCCAGATAGAGGTGCAATAGAGTCCGGGAAACTTAGAGCATCCTTTTCCCTCTAGCAGGAAAATGATTTCCTGGTTTCTCCATAGGTGGGATGCAAGAGTACTTGCCTTCTACGCTATCAGCTTGCTGAAACAGGGGGATACAATCATTACGAGTTTCAATAACCTCAGTTATCTGAGGGGTGAAGGAGATACACCAATACCACAAGCTCTATCCCGACGTCAAACACTGTTTAGCTCTCTTTCAGTAAAGACTGAGAAGGCCACCCATTTGTGCACCCACAGGAGGAAGCACTCAGCAGAGGGTCCCCAGTTAGGCCCAGGAAAGAGGCTCTAGGAGTACAGGGACAGCTTTACAGACAAGATGCATCTGACGGGGCAGAATCCCCACCACTGGAGACGGTGCACACGATCCTTTACCAGACTACACATATATTCATAACTTCTCATCAGGTGAAAGAAGCATTCTTTACAGAAAGGACAAAGGAAAACCATCAGAGATTTACATGAGTCCAAGGTAAGGCAGGAATCACAGACAGAGAAGAAATTCACTGCAAATCACTAAACATAAAGAAACCATGGCCAACTCAGCAAGCCTCCAATCTCAAAATCTTTGGGAGGACTGCAGAGTACAAAAGTGAACTATTACATGTGGGTTTATTGTTCTTATATCCTCCTCTAGGCATTTGCTTTTACGCATTGTTTGAAAGAGAATACCAGCCTAGACCAGTTTTGGGGTTGACCCAGCCTGGCATGGACTGTTTCTCAGCACTAAGTTCTTCCTACCTGTTGTGGCACTGCACGTGTAAGCCCAGGCTTCAGGAAGCAGGTGCAGAAACACATTCCCCAGTAAGCCACCAATGGCAAAACTCAGCAACTGCTTCAAACGGTGTGATCCAGCTAAGAAAAAATGGTTTTAAAAAAAAAAAAATCATCAAATAAAAATTGATCACAATTCATTCAGAAGCCAAAATATCTCTGCACAAAGAGACCTACACTGGAAGCACGCACAAAGCAAATGTTCAAAGGAGAGAGCACGAAACAAATAGCTGGAGTGCGAGAAAAAGTCTTGGCACCTCTTGGCAGGGACAGCAGCATGTAGGTATCAAGCAGGGTACAAAACCAGCGAAACTCTTTGTACAAGCTCCACGAAGGGCTTGCATTTGTCCGAGGACTCCCTATCGCATCAGCAGGTAGGGACTAAAGCACTGGAAACGAACTGTCTGTTTTAGAGGATGGCATTTCTGTGACAAGGCCCTGTGCCATTCAGTCACAGCCTGGGACTTCTGGCTTCAGAAGGGCTACTGCAGGCAGCAGGCTTACCTTCTGACCGCAGAGCAGCTCCTGTCTCAAATGGGATCACCAGCAAGGGGAAGACCCCGCTCAGCCCCACCATGAAGGAACCAAGGAGGGAGCAGATCCAGGCATCCAGCCGCTCGCTGCTGAAAAGGCTTCCCCAGGACTCTGCCTCCTTCTCGCACAGAGGACCAGCACTAGCAGCAGCATGACTTCTTGGCAGCTGCTGAGCTTCACAGGCCACGATCAGGAACAAGGAGAGCGTCCCTTCAAGCAGAAACTTTTGTTTTGTCATCGCTAAGTGGTCTCAGCCGGGCTGGCCGATCTCTGAAAAGAGAGAGCAGTTCTGAGAGCGTGCCCGACACTCCCTCCCACCATCCCCTCCCGCAGCACCTCAGCACACGCAGGTATCCCCGTGAGGAACACCGCAAACTCTTCCCGATTTCAACACAGCTCTAAAGGACAGAGAGGCTGTTCCTCATCGGGCGCATGGAGCTGCACATGAGGTATCTTGGGAAAGAGCCTGGCTTTCAGCATCTCTGCTCAGGTGGGCAGGACAAGGGCTCCAAGTACCCCTACCCTTGCCCTTCAGCGTCCCAAGGCTTCGGAGGCAGGTACTGACCAGAGATGCAACCCAGACAAGTCTTCTTTTTGCCACAGAACAGCATCCATGTAGCAAATTAGGATGCAAGGCAGGCAATGTAACAGAGGTCTGTAAAATCGTAATTGGTGTAAAGATAGTGAACGGGGGTAGATTACTCAACATCTCTTCAGACCTAGGTGCTGACGGCCATCACAAAAAGCCAGCAAGGGTCAGCTTCAAAACAAAACAAACAAATGTGACTTTTCATCAGCAGGTACCTCGGGTGGTAGTACTTCTCCAAAAATGATGGGGAATTTTACACAGATTCAACAAAAGACAGGACAAGTAGTAGCAGAACAAATCTATTGATTGTTTGTGGTTAGACAGCTCACATTAGACTCAGGAAATGCCCTTACCTGAAATGAGCTAAAGGCTGGAAGCGCAGTTAGAAAATAACATACATATTCATAGAATCATACGATGCTTCGGGTTGGAAGGGACCTTTAAAGGTCACCCAGTCCAAGCCCCTGCAGTGAGCAGGGACACCTTTAACTGGATGAGGTTGCTCAGAGCCCCATGAAGCCTGACCTGGAACGTCTCCAGGGATGGAGCCTCCACCACCTCTCTGGGCAACCTGTGCCAGGGTCTCACCACCCTCACAGTGGTGCTATTTGTCCCATTTTTATTCTTTCCTAGAAGGATACTGGGTTAGTTGGTCTCTTAGTCAAAATCAGCACAGCTGTTACTAAGAACTCTCCAGTCACAAGAAAATTGGAGAGAAATGGGCATGTTAGAAGATGAAAATAGAGATAATTACACTTTCATTGGCAAACAGGAAAAGAACGCAAACAATGCAAAGACTGAAATGCAAATGCTCCTTCAGTCTCAGAAAGAAAAAGTGAAATGTGACACACAAAATTAATTTGGAAATGGGAGAAAACAGTGGGTTAGAAGAGAATAGCTTAACAGATGTTCACGAAACAGCTGTAGATTGAGAGGTAATAACGGCATTCACCTGAAAGCATGTAAGAAACCAAAGTAAACTCTAAAGCGTTAGTGACCATCTTTGAAAATTTATAGGAATATGGGAAGGCCACAGAAGGCTGGAGAAGCATCATGCCTCACCTACCTTTATAAAAAGAAAAAAAAAGGTGGGAGAAGACTTAAGAAGTTACAGACCCGTAACTTCAATCCTCTGAAAGATTCTTGATCAAGTTAAATGATCAGTTTGTAGTTACCTATAAGATAAGAAAGTGATAAAGATAGCAAAGCATTAAGTAACAGCCAGACAGAAAGGAGTCTGAAATTATCCAGGCAAAATTCGGGGCGTTGGAACCAATCCAAGGGCTCACTGCAGCTGAAAAAGGCACCTTTGCCCCTTGTCCCCTGTCCCCTCCCCATGCTCACACCTGACTCCACGAAGGAGCAGGGCCAGAACAAACTAGCAGGAAAACTGGGGTTTTTTTTAAAGGCTTGCCCCTTTTCCAGTTTCAGCCCCTGAACTAAATCACTGCAGGGGGAAGGTCAGGCTGCAGTGAGCAAATCAAGAAGAAAATTAAAAGACAGGCTCTCACAGCTCCAGTGAAGAACAACCCTGAGCTTCAAGCACCGTGACGATGGACATCAGGAGCAGGGAGGATGCAAGAAGGAACCGATGGCTTGGCTAGCTCTGCCAGAACCACTCAAACTTTTTGTGCAAGATCATGTCTGATCAAGTGTAAACTCTACTGACTACTGACCCATACAAAACCCATTACTTTTTTTTTTTCAACAAGAAAAAAAAAACAAATGCCTCAACACAGCCAGTTTAAACCAGCTCAGGATTTTGTGGCATCTTATCGCAGTGTTTTGATCAGGCTGCAGGAACCCTAGACCTACTTTAGCACACCATCAAACCAACCTCAGTAAAGATCAGTACAAACCAGTAAACTAAGGGGGGAAAAAAACTCCAATAACTGAAGGAATATGACAAAACAATAACTCCAACGTGCCACCAAAAAAAATAAAAATGCGTATGTGCATTATATCGATCCACAAATTAATTCCAAGCTATCCAGCTTATGTTGCTACAAGTAGGCAGGTGACGTCCTGGGACATACATACTAGCGGCTACTTGGCAGGGGCGACACAGCAGCTGTGATTCTGTTCCACCCCACACAGGACTGAAGGACCTGGGCGTGTTTAGTCTTGAAAAGATAACACTGAAGGCAACAGAACAGTCTGTGCACGTTAGAAGTCACAAGAAGGGGGAAAAGTGCTCAAGTCTTCTTCCACACTGTGGCATCAGCTCCAGCAGTAAACAAGATTCAGCCTGGGTATGAAGAAGCAAATTTAAATAGTGCCAAAGCGGTGATCTACTGAAACAGGTTAGCTATGACGCAGAACCTCCAGCACTGCTGGTTTGGTTTTTTTTTTTAAATTGTGGAAAAGAATAAACATCCAATACAGATGTTTTATCGCTGCAAAGACTAGATCCCTTCTTAAAGTCTCTCCAGCTCTACCCCTGTAATTCGACGTCAGCTGGTGAGATTCCACAGAGGCAACAGCACAGAGAGGTGACGGGACTCATCGGGCAGGTGACGCCAGCCACGGCCTTCTCTCTGCTTGCTAGTGGCTGCACAGCAGCCCGCAGGGAGAGAATTTCCCACTTTAAAGAAGATGGGCACCCCTTCCAACCCCAGAGCTGGCCTGACGAATGTCCTCTTCTTTTATATCAGGATCAGACCTAGAAAATGACTGAGAACAACTTCTTTGTGAGGAACAGAGCGGAAAAAAAATCTGAATTTACACAGCCACCATATACCTATGAAGAGGCAACGCACACAGCAAAATGACTGCTCTCCACGGCTCAGCAGTGATGGGAGGTGGCACCAAGTGGCCTCCTCTGCAATTCCTGAGGATTGATCTGGAAAAGTAATCCCTGCAATAGATCCAACAGGTCTCCTTCTCCACAGCCCACGTCTGCCCCAAGGGACACCTGAAAGGGTCTTGTAAGACTAAGTGACCCAAATCGTGGAGAGAACCAGTAGCACACAGGACAAAGAGTACATCCAGGGCTCTGGAGACAGGCGGCACACCTGGCTTCATGTCCTTCCTCCAGCAGCGAAAGGGACCAGGTCTTCCAAAAAGGGATGGCGGTGGACAATGAATGGGGATAAAGGGGTAGAAAACTCCCTAACTCACACTTGTGTCAGTCAACCTTCTGTGGCCCACAGGTGTTTCTTCTCTCCTTACTCACACAAGGGAAAAACATTATGTTTCTTTCTAGCTGTGCTGCCTGACCATCGTTACCTTGTAGCTCAAGAACATCCCTGTACCTCTTGCAATAAATTCCTGATGCCTATAAAACATCTACAAGGAAGCTGGTGCATCATCCAGGACACACCTGAACCGATCTTTATGCCCAGCTAATTATTTAGAATGTACTCCTAGCATTTGCTTCTTCCTAACGCATAACCACTTGCTCTACAAAATGCACTTTTTCATCTCTGTAGCCCCTCTGCTTCTCCATCTCACACTCCTCGAGACATTATGTTTGTTTACTTAGTGTTTGTAAATTCTCTAAATTCAAGCTGGCTGCTCCTAAGACAAATATTTAAGAGGAAGAAAAGAAACAGTCGGGGTGCAGTCCAATGGAAAAAAAAGCTCAAGGCAGAAAATAATACTCTGCCACTACAATTGTAGAGGCTGGAATAAGTTTTACCTACCCCTAACTTTATACAACAGCATCTGTTTTAGGGACCCAGTTAGAGAAGGTCTTCAGAAGTTTCTCTAGAGAAAGCACCTTCAGGTTCTCAGAGAAGTCTGTGGTCGTTATGAAGCAGAGGCATAACCAGGTGTACAGAGATGTGTTTTTCTCAAGAAGGGTACACGACCTATTTAAGGGCACGCAAGGCAAAAAAAGAGCCAGCGCATCGTTTACACCGTTTGGGATCAGGGATCCTGGCCGTGCCGGATCACAGCCCGGCCACCGTTACCACTGGCAGCATTCTCAGAGCACCACACGTCCCACGCTGGTCTTTAAGCCAAGCACTCAGGAGTCAGGTCTGCTCAGCTCCTTCTTCCACAGCCTCAGGACTGGAAGAATCTCAAGGCCTTCTCAGCTCCAGAAGAACAAACAAATGAAAATTTGCCATTTACACTCCTCCCTTGAGGGGGGGGAAAGGGGAAGGCTGCACATCAAGCCAGGAGAAGAGCTCCTGCCCTCCTCCCAGGAGGCTCCCCTATGTCACAGCGCCCACTGAGCACCTCTGTAGCAGGCTGTGCCTGAGAAAACCCGGACCCAACTTAAAATGGCAAGGCAAAAACCTCCTGGAAAGGGGAAAATAAAATACTGACATGACGACGATTCCTGCAGAAACCCACCTCCTCCCCTCCTAGACACTGCCTGTACACACAACACAGCTCAGCTCTGTCTCAGCACAACTGCTCATTGCCACAAGACGACACATTATGTGCTGCTGGGGGGAAGAAAAAGGAGGACTTTTTTTACAAGTGTTTTTCCTGCAAGCCAGTTGCCTGGTCTTACAGTCGCAAAAGAGTACTGCGTGGAATGGAAAAAGAAGTTATTTCCCAGGGAGGAGGCACAGTTTTCAGCCAAAAAAAAAAAAAAAGAAGAAATTCTGCAGAAGCTGCCTTTCTCCGTGAGCCCTGCGGAGAGCTCAGAATTCCTCCCGGACCGCCCGACCCCGGCAGAGGCACGAACGATTCTGAGT